GAATATATCTCAGAAGAACTTTAGTCTTAACGAATGAAGCAGACTATATACAGATCCGGGTAAAAGTCAGTCTCAACTTCAGAATTTCGCCATGTACCGATTAAGTAAGTTTCGAAAGTATCAGTAGATCTTGAAGTTAGAACCTGAATCAACGAAAGTCGTTTAAAGTGATGTAATGGCCGAATGAATGAGTCGAAGGTTTCCATACTGTACCGTCGCCTCTCCAAAGATTTCCTCATCCGAGCCAGACTGCAGTTTTGAAATTGCTATTCATCACATCAACAGTTCGACTTTTAGTCTACTTCGCGTTCCCATTGTGAGGCTACAGATTGAAATTTATGCACTCGATGACAAGTGCAATTTTGCCTCATAAGCAAAAGCCCGATTAAATTGTGAGGCCTGTTTTTTCTTGTTTTTCCTATTTGTTACATTTTCCCTGTGACTGAGTAAATGGTGGCTGTGGCAAAATGATAACGTTTCCGCTTGGAGTACACGAGCCAACTTCGAATCCCACTGGGGGCTGATCAGACTCAGGCCTCGAGAGGACTTTTATTCATGCTATAATAAGATATCACACTATCCGTCCTTTTCTCACATAATGCTCTTTAATCCACAACTTTACTGGGGCAGGGATGGAAAGTCGGGCAAAAAGAGACAACTTGCTCTTTCTTCCTCAAATTGGCCCCTCTGTGCTGCTAATTCGAAGTTGCACTTAATCTCCATCGCCGGTAAACCCATCTCCACTCCGGCCTGCTTGGCTATTTTGCTCCCCTTTTCACACGTTTCGGCCTGCACAACCTCCACATTACCTGCGCTTCGATGCAGTAGGCCCCACACAGATCGAGAATTGTTGGCCAGGTAGCATCAAATTGGGCTAAATGGGATAAGCTGGAGGTGTGCAACGAGAGGCCGGCCAATGGAATGCGAGTAGATGTCCCGAAAGAGGTACACCGCGTGGCCGGCTGCGCCACCCCTTGAACTTTGCTTAAATCCCCAATGTTCATCGGCACTTTACATATCCTCTCTTCATATCAACCCTTCTCTGTCACCGGTATCGTCTCTGCCTCGTGCTTCCTCTTGCTTTGCACAAGTGGACGATTCAACCACTTGCAGCAACACTGGAAACACTGCAAAAAAAGCTGAAGTGGACTGCTTGGGTAAATAGACGTCTCTCTGGCCACTCGATATCTCCTCAACCATTCACTCCCACGAGGCATCACCTACTTGGACTGCCAGTTGTGGCGGTATACTAACCACCAGATCGTGCCATCGTGGAGGCGACCAGGCTCTGGTTGGTCTGACAGCAGGTGCCAGAGGCAACAGGACTTGGCGAAGTTGACTCAGGAAAAAGATATATGGACAAACAAAGAAGTAGAGCGAAAGAGGGAGAAGGGAGA